TTACAACACGACGAAACCTCTTCTTTTTTCGACTTCTCTACAATGGATGCCCTTCAAGTTCAGTCCGCCATCGCTGAGTTGCAAGCTGAAGTCCAGCGACAGCGCGACGAGATTCACTTACTCCGGTCAAGAACATCCGCAAAGCCTAAACCTTCCCTCCCAGACCCTGACAAATTCACTGGCCAGGCTCATAAATTCGACACCTGGCTTCCCTCAATCAAAGCAAAGCTACGAGTCGACGGTACAGCTATTGGAGACGCTATTGCGCAGTTCTACTACGTCTACCTCAACCTTGACTCCCACGTCCAAGCCATGGTCCTTCCACAGCTCTCTCAAGCAGAAGACACCCAAAGCTGGGACTACCAAACAATCCTCGAACAGCTCGCGCGCGTGTACGACAATCCAAACAAGGTACAGGAGGCGGAAGACAAGCTATTTGCCCTCAAGCAAGGTGCTGACTCAGTCCCTACATATATCGCCAAGTTTGAGCGTGTCCTTTACGAAGCAAGAGGTCAGGACTGGCCAGATGTCAACAAAATTTCCACCTTTAGGAATGGCCTTAATTCTACTCTTCGCGGACGACTTTCTCAACAACTCAACCTACCTCGCGATTATACTACATTCATACGCGTCGTACAACAATTAGCAGGCCGCTTCTCTTCGTCTACACAACCTACACAGTCCTACTCCTCTGGCAACCACCACAGCGAACCAATGGACATAAATGCTTTTAGCATCAATTCCATCGACCCATCCTCTCCTCCACGCGCTCGCTCTATTTCCCCTGAGCGTAGAGATCAATATAGAGCTGAAGGCAGGTGTGTACGATGTGGCTCCTTGGAACACTGGGTCAACGATTGCATACTCCGTCCTTTCTCACCAGGACCACAAGGAAGGAAATCAGCCATAGATTTGGGGGATCTACCAGCTGGGGAGGCATTCCCAAAGCCAGTACGAAAGCAGATTGCAAGACCAGGCAGAGTAGTAATAGCAGCTATGAACGACAATGCTTACGATAGCGCGGAGGTAGATTCGGACGATCCTGACCATCCAGATGCCTGGCAAAAGGGTATTTTTCACAATTAGTTCAGATTTTCAACGCTCGGGGCGAGCTCTTTTTAAAGGGGGGGGTGATGTGACGGTTATGGTCACGAGGGCTGGATGTCACATGCTCGCTTAGCGAGGCGCTAGCGCGCACGACCTGTATTTAGTTCCCAGCTCTCTCGAGCTCTCCTTCTTTCCTCGTCTTTTGTCCTAAGAATAGAGTGTTAATTGTTCTGAGTTCTACCTGAAGCACGTCTGTCACACTTACTTCCTCTTAGGCGCTTAACTCTCTTAGTAATTTATAGGCCTATACTAAAGTAGAACTCGTTAGTAAAGGCTTTATTATCCTAGTATTTCGAAAAGAGAAGCTTCTTTAGTATAGCTATATACTACTCCCTTCGCTTATCTATTATATTATCCGGTAATAGCTTCTTCTTAAAATAGACTACGTTTATAAGATCTTTATCTTTCTTAGTATATTACTAGATAGTTTTAGTAGTAACTATTCGAAGCCTAGGTAGCTTCTAGTATATAGTCATTAGAAGCTCTTTACTAGTAGCATTATAAACTATATCTTTCTAGGGCTTACCCTACTTCTCTTATAAAGGGCTATTACTTCGAAGATAGTTTTCTATTACTCTTATCTAGAAGCGAGTAAAAACCCTTAGTGTGACGGAGCTGGATTTCATTTGACAGGATTTCATTCGCTTGGCGAAGCACGTGATGAGACTTGGCATTGGAACAACTTAAATAACTTCGCTCCTTTCAGATTCTCTTCTCTCTTTAGTTTGATTTCTTCGTACCTACGGTTTTAGTTCTAGCAATTGATTCAAAAGCTGTATACACTTTATCCTTTGTTGGCATCCGTGACACTTAGTATATTCCTTAGATTAGAGCTCTCTTAGTTATATAATATATAATATTACTTCGAAGCTATATTACGAGTTTATATACGCTTATTTACTTTAAATAGAGTATATAATTACTCCTTTAGAAAGAACTTTTATTATATTTTACCTAGGATTTTTACTATAATAATAAATATTCGTTTAATCGAGTTAGAGGCTTTTTATAGGTTATAATCTAGCTATAGCTCTAGCCGGGGGGGTATATAGCTAACGACGATACTAATAGCTACGATTAGTAGATATTTTAACTTATTATAAATAGAATAATATATAAAATTTAGTATTATAAGTACTATAAAGTGTAGAAAAGTAGTTTTTTAGAGTAGTATTTTAAGTAGGGTAGTTTATATATTAAAATCGGCCCGGAATTATTTACTCTTAGAGAGGGGTATAGTAAATAAATAGATATAAAACCTTAAATACCAAGTAATTCTATTATAGTAAAATAGTTACGTTTTAATTATTAAATAACTTATAATCTAAGTATAAGTAGTTAGTTAGTACTAACTACGCTTACTTTCTTCCTAGCTCTTTTAATTATAAATCTCTAAGTTAGTTTTTATATAGCTTTTATTTACGTTTTAGAAGGAACTTAGCTTTTAAATAAAAGTACTTTTAGGAAATAAGAAAATAAGAGCCTAGGGAAGTGTAACGAATACTCAAACTGGCTAACTAAACTTGGCTGGGTGTTCGCTGGTTGGTATGCTATGATAAGAAGAAGACTATCGGGTTGTTCACTTGGAAGTGAACTCGTTACTTGTATCAAAGATGTCAAACTAATATGATAAGATTGATAACTAAGTTGAGCACGAAGCTCCTATCTAATGGCAGACGTGCCAGTCTTATATAGAACCTTCGTTCTCCAAATCCCAAATGCCGACAGCGCGCGACAACTCGCTTGTCGCGCTTTTATCACGTGACTATGAATGCTATGAAATCCTTGGATACTCAACAACCCTGAGTAAACACTGCTATGCTATAACTACTCTGGATGTATCTGTCTTTTCAGAACGCCGTCTGGACTAACTCGTCACATGCTAACACGTGATTCGTGACACTACTATAATAGTCTTAAATACCTATAACTTATATACCGAAATAAAGATAAAATATTTTATAAGAGTTAGTAATAAAATTACTTAAATCTATTCTAATAGCTTATTACTTATAGCGTTCGGTAACTGGAATTCCATTCCATACTAGACCCCCCCTATGATATATACCATGCTATTTGTTCGAACCTCTGGATTATGCCAATCCATATAGGGTAGTTCCATGGCATGCCATGGAACAAATTCACATGACCAGGAGTAAAGTTCCCCCGTTCCGAAGATTAATAGAAATGCTATTGTAAAGATGTGGTTATGGAAGTTGGCATTCGGTCGAACTAGCTAGGAAAGAGAGAGTCCGAGACTCGTAGTACTAAGTACACATTCCTGGCGCTTGGGCCACCTTCACATGCTAGTGACTGCTAGCGCATTCACTACATATGAGCTCTTCTCAACAAATCTTCTACTTTACTTAGCGCCGAGGAACAGTGGATAGTATCACGACGGGACGGGAACCTGCAATAAGCTATTAGCTCGTCACGTGTTCTGGAATTCCATAACTCCATGGAATTCCAGAGCCTATTCCATAGAAATAAGTGTTCCATTTTTAAGGACCTCTAATAATATTCCAAATGGAATGGAATTGTGGAATCTATGGAAACGAGTGCCATTTGCCGAACGCTGATTGCTCAGGAATCGGACCCTAATGTTGAGTTCTTGCCAGACTCCCATAAACCCCAACTTAACGTCCGACATATACATAATGTATCAAACTCAGACGTGCTCTTCCTAACTATATAGTAAGATAAACTATAAGAATCTAGAAGCACATATGTCTTGCATCCGAGGTGATTCTTCTAGCACCATACCTATTTAATACAGGTTATTATAAAACAACCACTCACGACACTGTAATACAGCCTGATCATGTAGTTCAAAGTGTCGATATAATACCGGCCACCTTACCCCGAAGATTGTACGGGGAAGCTACTAATGGCACTGGTGTGCTTGGAGCAGACGCGTGAAAATGCGGGGCTCCACGGGGACGCGGGGTAAAGGCCAGAAGCAGAAAGTGTTAAGGGGCATTCTTAAGCGAGGTAAATTGGGGGTACTACTAGGTTCAAGTAGAAAAGCTTTTGAACGTCTCCTTATTGCTGCCCATTGAGTTTACGAGATCTCTTTTTCAGGGTATCTATCGTCTTCCTTTCATCCTTACAGCCAAGTTCCAATAATGATGTTTTCTGACTTGTTGACGGGCGTGGTTGCCCTGTCCTCTTACTCTTCAGTTGTTTCTGCAGCGAGTCTCGTTTCGGTAGCGAATTATGGAAGTAATCCCGGTTCGGTCGGTATGCATCTCTACGTCCCCGATAAACTCGCTTCGAACCCTGCGATCATCGTGGCTGTAAGTTTTACCCTCCCTAAAACTCAAAATCGGGAATCGGGCAAGAGCTAAGCTAACCATATGAAAGGTACTCGGTATGGATTCTCGCTTAGGCTGGTGTGAGTATGACAAGCTGAACTCTTGTGAAAGTAACGAGTATTCGCTAGCTTTTTTCCTCCGATTCTGACATCAGATTGTACTTACAAGCCATCAGATGGCCACTGCTTCCCTGTGGCACTTCCCCTCATATCCGAGTTCAAAAAACGCAAGGATTCTCGTCATCCGAAATACGACTTCAACCCGGTGTATTCATGTCGAAACACAAAGCTCGTATTCACCTTTGCTTACTTACAGCCACTGTGAAAGTAAAAGGAAAGAGAAGCTCCGCAAATTCAAACAATTGATTCATACGTACATTTGGATCCTCCCTTACCTGGCTAGTGCGAGAATACGAAATCTCGACTTACCAATCTGCTATCCATAGCATGAACAGCGAACATCAAATTGCACTCTATACAAACATTACAGATCTTCAGCTTTTCAAAGTCCTCGAATCATTCAAGGAGCCTCACAAAACATCCCCAAAAACCTCAAACCACCCAAAACAACTCCACAGCAATGTCAGAATCACCTCCAAACTCCCACTCCAAGCCCATCAGGATCCTCATTATTGGAGCAGGTATCTCAGGCCTCGCAACTGCTCTCGCACTCTATCACAAGAACCAAAAGCATCCCAACTTAGCCAGCTTTCGCATCACAATCCTAGAATCGACACCTGTTCTCCAAGAGATCGGAGCGGGTATCCAGATTCTCCCAAATAGTTCGAGATACTTGGTAGAATGGGGATTGGAAGGAATGAGTTGGGAGGTATGGAGGAGGTGTTTAAGTACCCGTAAGTAAACCTTTTTTCTAGATTTAACAAAGGGAGATATTCGCAGGGGGGGAATACTGAATGAGGAAAGTGTTATGCATGTTAAGCTAGGAGATAGACATTGGTTCATCCATCGAGCTAATTACCAACAAATCCTCTACCACGCCGTCCTCGAAGCTGGCATTGAGATCCTTCTCAACCACCGTGTCAGAAATATCAGTTCCACAAATGGTAAACCTACTGTCCATTTTCAAGACGGCAGAAGTATGGATGCAGACCTCGTCATCGGAGCTGATGGAATCCATTCCGAAACCCGAAATTTCGTCCTGGGGCAGGAAATCAAACCACTGGAGTCCACTTGTTGCGCCTACCGTGTCACAATCCCAGCTTCAAAAATGGAGTTCCATCCATTGACAGCGAAGCTGCTGAGCGAGAAGTTTGCGAATCTATGGATGAATCGTGATGAGGAGGGGAATGTAGTTGGGTACCCGATTCGGCGTGGGATGATGTACAATCTAGTTCTGGTGCGACCTGGAAATTGAATCGTGGGAAAGTGGAACGAGGAAGGTGATATAGCGGAGTTGAGAGAGTGTTATGAGGAATGGGATCCGACGATTGGCGCTTTACTCGGGCTTGTTGAGAGGGTCGTGAAGTGGAAGTTGGGGTACCTTCCGCCTTTGGAGAGATGGGCGGGACGGGATGGTAATGCTGTTGTTATTGGAGATGCGGCGCATGGTATGTTGCCTCATTTAGCGCAGGGGGCGGCTGTAGGTTTGGAGGATGGCGTCGCTCTGGCGGAGTTTCTGGAGGGGGTGAATGGCGTTGAAGATATTCCGGAGAAGTTGGTTGCGTTTGAGGGGGTGAGGAAGGAGAGATGCGAGATCATTTCCAAGGTTGCAAGTTTGATTCCTAGAAGGGGGGAGATTAGGGAGAAAAATGGGATAAAGCAGTTGGTGAAGAACTTTCTGAGGGATTCTGAGTTTCAGACTTGGTTGTATAATTATGATACTGTAATGGAGGCAAGTTTAGTAATTTTCTCTTGAGAACTAAGGAAACTGAGCTAACGTGGTTATTGTAGACCAAGAAGTACTTGGACGTGTTGTCTTCCGAGAAAGAGAAGGGGAAAATAAATGAAGAGAATTAGAGTATTTGGGGTCATTAATACTAGCCTAATGAGAGTGACTAAATTACATGATTATAAGAATTACATGAAAGAGTCCATCATTTGTGATTATTATAATTAAAATCTTGGCTAAGGGAGAGGTAGAAGTGGATTTACTTTAAAGTAATTGAAACCTAATAGAATATAACAACTTTTAGTACCGTATAACCCTAAATAAACAAACAAAAATTAACATTGTTACTATAACCGTACATAAAATACAATACCTTTATACTTAAAAGGTACTATTAGTTAGTATAGACATAAAAAGGCGTAAGACGTAGGATAAGAAAGAACTAGAAAGAATCAGATGAAATAGACATTAAAGTATGTCCTTTCCACCCCTTAATAAAAGGTCTTTTGCTCCTATTTTACGTATCGTTGTATAACGAAAAAGTAAGGTAGATAATTCGGACGAAGACTCCATTATTAATAAAATAATCATGACTCGATCATTACATAGATAATAACTATAATTTGACTAACTCTAGCCCGGAGACGATCAGAGTTAACAATTCGATGTTTGTACCCCTTGCAAACCGAGGATAACAAAGGAGGACGACGACCATAACTAATCGTTCGTACGTAATGAGTTCAGTAGCGGTATGGGAGCAAACATTTACCTCGGATGCTGACATTCCTAAGAGACTTCAGGTGACCAACATCATGAGGCCCCCATACACGTAGAGAGGATCTCCGATGGTTGGAGGTTGACAATTTGTAGAGTTGGCTGATGGTGTTGTTGGTTTGAGAGGAGAAGTTTAAAACTGTGATCCGAGTTACCCGAGTAATCACAACGTGACCCGATCCAGGCCGAGATCCGTATTACAGTACAGTAAAATGTGGCGACATCCAAGGATATTTTCTTGCTGCCCACAGATACACATCAATACAACATATATAATTATTTCGAACATAGTAAAACTACTGAAAGGCCGCATCTAGCCATTCAGAGATATTGCTCAGACGGAACAGTTCTTGCTATTCTGCTAGCAGAATAGAATATGAGTCACGACATGCAAAACCCCCCTCTGTCGCTCATTTGCCGAAATACGGGATGTTATATGTCCCTTCTCCAATACCATGGTCGGTGGTGCAATCTCAGCATTGGCATTTTGATTTTGATGTAGACGCCCACAGCCATGCTCGAATCATGTCTTATGATATTGGGCTCATTGTTGTTGTTGGCTCGTTGAGTGGTACTCGGTTAACCATCCAATCCAATAACATAATGAAACTTAAACGACGCGAGAAATCTAGACGTTGTAAAATGACTGGTCTCGACGGGCCAGTGTTAGAAGGTTCTTTTCTTTTCTCTGAACCCCAAGCTATTATGAACTTCTTGAATTCTAAGTTATTGGGGGTTTCTCTAGGTTAAGAACCTTTATAACTTATTGAGTAACGTGCATGTATAGCGAACCGGCCAAACAAGCGAACCGGCCAAAAATTTCTACACTCGCGATTGAAATTGTAAGAACTCTATCACAACGCCTCTAATTAAAAAACACTATTCAGAAATTTCTTCCTCAGATACTTCCTCTATAATATTACAGGTGCGCGTATTATGACCAGTCTCTCCGCAGTTGCCACAGCGCCCTGCACGTGATTTTTCCCTCGGCTTCCGACCACTACTTCCCTTTATTTCCTGCATTACCTGCTCACCAACGTCTCTATCATCCTGTAAGTCCTGCGCTTCCTGTTGACTAAGTGATCCTCCTTGCTGTAGGCGTGTTTTTTTAGCTCTACGGCGCTTACTTAGTACTTCATTTGCTTGTCGAAGTCTCTGGTTCTCAGCTTTCAATAGTACTATCTGGTGCATTACTTTTGATGCACCCTTCGTAAACTGGTCAATGGCCTCGTAAATAGGGGTTGGAGAGCTACTTTGGTGGCGTAAAATTCGATCTTTAATAAATATAGTCTGTGATAAGGCTTCAGTAGGGTTATTTGGTGTCTGGGAAACCCAAGGCCGAGCGGAATACGAGGGGGAGTTTGGAGGCGTTGGCGTCTTTAGCTTAAGATCAAGTGTAGAAATTACACTTTCTGGGTCAAATGGAAGAAGCCTAGCCCCTCGGAACCCTCCTCAGATATTGCTTTCTGTCATTGCAATATTAAATGCGGCGTGGAAGGCAGGAAAGAAATCATCCTTAGTAATATAGATGATCTGAGCCCGCATCATATCTTCAATTTGCTGACCATATGCCCTTTTCAAAGGGCTAAAACAGCCAACGTCGAGTGGCTGGAGTATATGAGAAGAATGAGCAGGCATACAAAGAGTGATAATGTTGTTTTCCTTGCAATATTCCTCAAATTCGTCGGAGTGGTGGCTTTCATGGCCGTCGAGGACTAATAGACGATAACCACCAATAGATTGGGACTTTGTATGCTTCTCAAAATGTCGAATCCAATCCATGCCTTTCTCATTTGTTGTCCAACCATTTTCAGTAATAGCAATCACCCAGTTAGGTGGAAATCCACTGTTTTGGTACCAAGAAGCGAGGTGATTTTTTGCGGCAACAATCACAAACGGTGGAACACACCAGCCTTGGGCATTAACCCCCTGGATTACTGTAACCCATTCCCGATTACCAGGCTGTACTCTTTTTGCTTTTACACGTCCTTCTGAGCTTGTAATAACCATTGCAGTTGAGATAACGCCCATCATAAACCCAGTCTCGTCAAAGTTGTAGATATCTGCATCGTAGATTCCGTACTTCGCTATTGTGTTTCGTACAAGCTCAAACCAGCCACGAATGACTTCTGGATCTTCGCACTTAGCTCTCTGATAGTCGTATTTTCGTTGGAAGCGTGTCTGGAGTTCTGGGCGGCGCTTAACAAAGTTATAAGCCCAACGCGTCCCGACGCGTGGCGCGTCGCGTGCTTCAAGAAGTCGATTTGCTATATCTTCAACTACAGATATCCGCGGAGGAAATCCTTTTGTAGCTAGGTCGAGGATATGTTGAACAAGTACTGATTCCTCTAGCTCGGTCATTTTCGGTGAATTGGCTAAAATATCGCGTCGTGAAGGTATACCAAGCAAACGTCGACCTAGCTTCCGGTGGTCTACAGAATAGGTCCTGGCAGCAGCTCGAGCACGTAAATTTGGGTCTTTTTGCATAGCTTGGATAGTTAAGACTAACCAGCTTTCGTCATTTTTCAGAGGCATCCTTCGTTGTAGAGAAATTTAATATTTCGTGGAGGTGTGGTGGGGTCGCCGGGTTTTGGCCGGTTCGCTTGTTTGGCCGGTTCGCTATACATGCACGTTAGTATTGTTGTGTATTTACAAATATAAAGTAACATGGCCTTTACTTTAATTACATTGTTGCCATACTAAGGTCCTGCTAAACCCCTATTGAATTGCCTTTAACGTTTTGCTCTAGCTGGATAAGACAGCTCCATATCTATTCACGTACAACGTAAGACCCAAAGTCTCAACAACATAAGACTAACATATCTCACACGCTCTCATTGCCCTCTTTTACAACAACCCGTCACAAAGAGTCCCAATCGCCTCAGTTACCGCGTCATCTATCATCACTTGTTCGGCGAAGCATTCTTCCGGCGCTCAAGTGTTAGACGCCCACCATGTCTGTATCTCGATTATAGCAGTTTTCCAAACTTATGAGCTTCAAACTTTGGTTCTTGGGTTCTTGGCCTCTAGGGGTAGCAAATCGGCTTTGATCGAACTATTTGCATGTTGGGAAGTAGCAACATCACAGAAAATCGGAAACCAAAATAGGAAAGAAAGTCCCAAGAGCATTTTTCATTACGTTAAACAATGCAATTACAGCAGCTTACAATATTGTTTCCAACTCCGTTATTCTCTGGTTATCCAAATGGGCAGTGGTAACACATCAGCGCGTCTAGAACTTAGTCCTGCCTTAACATAAGATCCAACAGCAGGCAAGAGCGAACCGCGAAGAGTAGGAAAAATATATATATATCGACTCTCCCCCTTCTTGATTTCATCTCAACACACATCACATCTCCAAAGTTCAGAACTTAATTCTAAATTCCTTACTCCAATACGCTTAAAAACCAGTCCGGGTCATCGCAGCCAAGCGACCATCGGCATCACCCATCAAAATGAAGCTCATCCACGTCCTTACCATCACCCTGGCCACATTGGCTTTCTCAGCTCCCCTCCCAAGTTGGCCCCCCAAGTCTCCCAATTCCAGACAGAAACTAATATAGAAAAAAACCCCACACCTATTCTCCCTGGTGAGGTCACCACCCAGGGAGCGGCGGGCGGACGAGGAGGATACAACGCACCTCCTCCCCGTACTCAGTCCGAGGTCACCACCCAGGGAACAGAGGGCGGCAGAGGAGGATACAATGCTCAGTCCGAAATGGCTACTGAGGGAACGGAGGGCGGACGAGGAGGATATAACAGACGCTTTTGATTCCCGTCGCTGGACTGTCTCTGTAAGAGATTGAGCATCGGGGTTATCTAAAGTCGGATTTCGGGGGAGGATATGTGATCGGAAGGATATAGTTAGTCTTGTTTAACGTCGTCTCTCGTTTATTTGGATCGTGGTGAGTATGGACTTAGGTAGAGGTAATTAGCGGGAGGCGAGAAAGTACCTAGGTAGGAAATAAGAATGGTATTATACGAAGCTATAGCCTATTTATTTCAAATTCTTTATTGTTATGATAATCACATATGTCGAAGAAAAGGTTTTAGTATTATCCTATGAACGACTTCAAAATCTAAATATTATTCTTATTTGTTTATCGGTAGTTGACCAAAATGCCCCCTAATTTAATAGCCCTTGCAATTGGCCTGGTCGGCTATATTAACTCCCAGAAGCCATCTTCTTCATCCTCTCCTCCGCAGCCCTAGCCCTCCTCTCCCTATCAAGTCTCATCCTCATCTCAGGCGTCAGTCCCCTCGCCTCCTCCTCCCTCTTCTGCTGCGCAGTCTTCGCCACCTCCCCGAGAACCTTCATCCTCTTCCTTTCCGCCATTTTCCCCAGTCCCCCCTCATTAACCTTCGGACCCTCGGATTTTAACCTCTCCTCTTCCGTTTTCCTTCTTTCCGATTCCGCTTTCGCATCTTCAGCTTTGGCCTCCTTTTCTCGTGATTTGGCTTGGGACTTGGATATTGCGGAGGGAATGTTGCTTTTGCTCCAGTCAAAGGCGCTGTCTCCTAGTTCGTGGCGGGCGACGCGGAAGGCGTCTCGGGTTGCTCGGTCGCCGGAGAGGTCGAATGGTGTTTTTCCTTCGCCATTTTCTATCGTTGGGTCGGCGCCTCCTTTGACTAATAAGCCAGTGACTAGTGGTGCGGAGTTTTGAGAGGCTGCAAAATGTAGGGGGGTAGGAGCGTGGTGGTTTTGTTGAGTATCCGCAGGTGTGAAGCGGAAATTCGGCGAAAGGGAGTTAGTTTTAATATATGAGAGCAAGGCAGGAAGTTTGGAGCGTCGTATTAACGCCTGGATTTGAGAGGTATGTAGAAGTGCTGTTTCTTCCTCTTCAGTTCGTTTTGGCGGCGCTGGGGCAGCTGTTTTGGCAACTTTGGATGCGGCCTTGTTTTCTGCTGCTTGTTTTGCGGCTAGCAATGCAGCTTCGTCCACTTCTAAGACCTTGACTCTGGTAAGCTCGACAAATGAGCGCATCAATTCATTTTGAGTCGCTCTCTTGGTGCTAAAAGGAAATCCTCGTATTCTTTTATCGTTTTGTCGCAGAACCTGCCCGTCATATGGACCAAAAAGTGTTCTCCTATTCGTATTCCCGGTGGCTCGAAGAAATAGAAGCTCTGAAGTATCAATCATTCCCTTCCAATCTTGAAGAAGCTGTCTAACTTCTTCGGTAAGAGCCTGCTCGTTGTATCTTCTCAGATCAGCACCAGCTGAGTGTGCAGCTCCTTTAGCAGAATCATTCGCGGATTGAGCTCCACCCTGTTTTCGACGAGTAGTATATCGGTGAAACGTCTTATGGGCCAGTACTGTGGCCTCGCGCATCAAAGGACCGGAATGTTTCGATTGTTTCGGTGAGAGCGACACGACCATGGCCGCAAAATGGCCACCGCCAATCATACATAAAAAGATATGAGGTTCTTTGTAAGATTCTGGTAATGGAACTCCTTTTGGGTCGAGTGGTATTTTCAATTGAGGTTTTGGTGCCAGCTGCTTCCCTTGCACAATCTCGACCAAAGAAGACTCATTTTCTTGCTCTGTCGTCGTGAAAATTGCTCTGTATATCCCCAAGTATGTGTTTTTGGGTAGACTTGGAGTTGTGAACCAGTACAATGGCGCCTTTCCAGAGCTCGTGGGATTTTTCTTGGAAACCAAATTATCTTCATCGGGTGCATCTTTCGAAGATATCGCTGCCTGCTTTTTCAGTAGAGCACTTAGTGTAGTCTCCTCACGAGCTCCTCCCTCTTCGTTATCTTCCGAATCAGAAGAATCGGAACCTGATAAACTCTCATTTAGATCTAGAAATTATCAGCATATATCCTCAAACATCCACGGATTATCCATACCTCCAATAAGCTTCTCAAATTCATTTTCCGATACTGGTTTTGCCCCTCGTAGTCGTTGCTTTAGATTGTACCCATGTAAATCTGATCGCACATGGCCTCGCTGGTCTTCAACCGTATGAAATGGTACTCCGCACAGTGTACATGATTTCGAGCCATCTGTGCTTTCTGCTCTCGATTCGGGCCTCGATTCTGCGGTCGTGCCTAATGTAGGGAAATCTTGCTGCTGGGGTTCTGGACCATCGCCTTCCTTTCGTTCTAAGGTGCTGAGAATATCCTTCGGAAGATCATAAACTGGATTTCATCAGGATCGAAATCGTTGAAAAGATGGTAATTCTTACCATATAAAGGTCTGCGAATTACTTCCTCTTTCCTCTGCTCCATTTCTGTTTGATTTTGATAGTTTGAATATGGTGGGGTATTGAGAGTGTCGCAGCTGGGGAAAAGTGGAAAATCGGAGGTTGGAGCTGGCAGGAGATATCTTGTCAGATAACAGAAAGTTACGACTTTTTATATGGGTGAAAGTAAGATGCGCTTTGCTTGGTGAATGTTGAATGACTCTTCCGGTGAGAAGCCAATTGTCTGCCTTGTCTGCTCATCTCAGAAGCGCGATACAAAGTGCCAAGACCTCAGCCTTATTGTCACTCACGTGGAGATAGGCCATCGGAGATAAGCTCCGAAGGATTTCATATGACGTAGCTTGTTTTACCCCTCGAGTTTGACGAATGATGAACGGCGTTCAACGAGAACAGGGAAAGTAGAACGTAGGTATCATGTTGAATTGATCAGATATGTAACCATCTGCACCCAAAAAGTCTAGACTGAAATCTCTCCTCGCACCACATGAGTTCATTCAGCCAAGTGGCCTATCAAATCACCACAGCTATAGTACTCTCAGAATCCGGGGTAGCTTCGTAGTAGCTCTCGCTACTCTCCAGCTGGGTGGCACTGTTTTACGAAATCAAAACACACCTCGTCATCGTTTATTGCCTTCAGCCCCTCGTCAATTGAATCCTCAAATCTATTTTAACTTCAATTTTGAAAATTTCGTCAACTACAAAATAATCTCAATCTCTGTATCAATCCATCAAACGCCCATTTCATCCTCAAAATGTCATCTTGCTGCTTCGGTTCCCGCAAAAAGTCCTATCGAAATGGAGAAACAGAACCTCTCCTCCCAGTTTACTCAGACGACACTTCTCTCCAACGCACCGCCCACCAAAAACTTCATTCATACCAGCAATTCCGAGCTCTTTCCAAGGGTTACATGCCCAGTACTGAGCAAGCAGTTGCAAACCTACGGACCTTCCTCGCAGCTGATGTCCTCAATCCCTCCACACCAGGTCTAACAAACAGTGGAAGACTCCTGACCAAATACACGAGACAATGGTTAACAGATTTCGTGGAGCTACTCGAGCATAAGAATGGAAGGGATCAGATCCAGGATTTCGTGTGGTTTCTGTTGCAAGCGAGGGTGAGAGTTGATGTACAGGATCTTGCGCGGACAGCAAGTAAAGCGAGAGCGAAGGCGGATGTTTCTGCTGGTAAATTTCCCAACTACCGGTCTACCTGCTGGCCAATTGATTCAAGTTTAAAAAATCAACTAACAACTAAACCAAAGGCTACGAATCCATCCGCACCGTAGCAACCCTCCTCCTCAGCAACTCCTCATTCCGCCTGTTCCTCACAGACCTAACCACAATCTCCAAACAAGTCTTCGCAGACACAGCCAACACCCTCTCGACAGTCGCCTCCGAAGCCGCCGACCAAGTCGAACCATCCAACTCGGAGAATGCAGCTCTCAAAAGCAAAAGCACAGAAAACGTCTCCACCCATCACACACCCCCCAAAACCCCAACAACTCAAGACCTCGAGGAAGACGCGGAGCAAATTGCAATTGTCGTGACAGACGGACTCAAACAAACCGCAGGGGAAGCACTAACAAGCACCCGCGACAACCTCACAGCTGAGGAAAATAAATCGACTATGTTGCGACATCTGAAAGCAGCCGTGGCACGACTTACCCAGAAACCCGATTACAACTCCTCAGTTTCCACACTCTCAACTCTCATCCAGCGGTACGCGAAAGTCTACTCCCGAGCTCTGGATAAGACTCTCTCAATAGTCCAAGACGACGTCGAGACAAACGATGAACTAGATCGAGCCGCGAAAAACGGCTGGTTACTCCTCTCAACATTCGGCTCGAAGAAGGAATGGGAAGAACTAGAAAGGCGATTCAACGCCGTAATGTCTCACGCTAGCAAGGACCCGGAATTTGAAAACATGATGGAAGAACTCGCCTCTTCCATCCAGAAAATGTTCACAGATCCCGAGTTCTTCGACGAGCCATCCACAGCAGTCGATGCCCTGAAGGAGAAACACAGTGAAACAGGAGAAAGCGCCAATGAATCACCACTGAAGAAAGATACGGAACGGTTATTACAGCAAGGAAAACGGACTTTTCATTCAGTGCTCAATGATCAGGATGTATCTACGCTACTCTCCACGAGCTTCAAGCTCTGGCAGATCCTCAATCCGCTAAATGTCCACTCCAACACGGAGCTGTTCCAGGATAGCTACACGATCTTCATCCCCATGCTCATCCAAGCTATTCAATTCATCCCCATTCCCCGTCTGGAGATCTCGGCGCCGGAAGTTGATTTGTTGTTGGAGAATTTGATCATTGAGCCCGGAAGGACGATCAATAACTCGTCGTTCTTGCCTTTTAGGCTCAAGGTGGAGACGTATAATGATTTGACTATTCATAAGCGGCGATTTAGGACGGTGAGTACGGTAGCTAGTTTGGTGACTGTCAAGATCCAGGGTCTCAGTGTGAGAGCCGACGAGGTGGGGTATTGGATGCGTGCCCACAGTGGATTACTGTGGCTCGCCGATGAAGGTATCGCCTCGTTCGAGTTGGATGAACGAGGCATCGACATCGAGTTGGATATTGAAGTGGGAAAAGAAAGATTGGCGAAGGTCCTCTCATTGCGTGACGTCCGAGTCAAGATTCATCATCTGAGCTACAAGCTTAGACGAAGTAAGTTCTCATGTCTGGCATGGCTCTTGAAGCCGTTTATGCGTCCCATTCTCCGAAAGGTGCTTGAAAGACAAGTTGCCACTGCAATTGCGGGCGTCGTCCATGCGGCCAACAGAGAAGTGCTGTATGCGAGGGAGAGACTGAGAGCCACGAGGATTAGCGAGCCCAAAGATATCATGACATTCATCAGAGCAGTCATGGCTAGGTTGACACCAGAAGAGGATCCAGATTTGTACGCCAGTGTTGGCGTCGCAGGAACCAGCAATGTGCGGGGCTCCGTCTTTGCGGGCAAGTATGCGCCAGGATCGGTAGTCAAGCTCTGGGAGGAGGAGGCCAGTAGAGCGGGCGAGGTGGTGGATGACAATGCTGGACGTGGTTGGCGGAATGATATCTTTGATGTTCCAACAGCTGGTGCTGCCGCAACGATGGCGGGGATCTTGTAAACTAGGAGTTCTTGCTTTTGTAGGCTAATTGATATTCGTTCCAGACCATCGTAATTCCCTGCTGGTCTTCGTGAAGCGTGTCTGTATCCTCGCTCAGAACCTTGTAGATCAGATCCGCTGAGAAGACTCTCGCAAGGTGCATTGCTTCCTAGTGGGCTACTTGAGCAGCTTTGCACAGTAGCATTGTTGCCATCTGACAATTGTGGCTCATCTGGGGGCTGGTTTCTCGCATTCCTAGCATCCGTAAGGTGCAGGTTCGCTAGGCTTCTCGCAATTTGTACAACTGAGGGCAGTAGACCATCTGGGTTCACTGCAATCTTTCCTTCTGTTAGTTGGGATGAGGCAGTAAATAGCTGGAAGCCATCCTTTGTCATGGATCTTGGACTTGACATTGTTCTCAGAACAGATTCTTGAAGTGATGGTGAACCAGGTAGTTGCAGACCACTCTGGCTTTGCACAACATCACTCGGTGCCAGCGCATTCTCTTCCGATTTCCTAATCGCATCTAGCCCAACTCTGTTCGGACTAACCCATTGTTGATGTCTGTTGGAGAACACCGAGCTTGGTGAGCTTCGAGAGGTATTCGAAACAGATAGTTGAACGGGGGATGGTTGGAGGCTTAGCGATTGTATAAGCGAGCTCTCGCCGCCGCTACCGGGATGTCGTCGTTCTGAGAAGAGCGGTCGACTGTTCAGGGAATCTGACGGAAGAAGTGGACTGGACAGTGGTATTTCTAGTTGTGAGCTAGATTGTGTGCTCGCAAGTGACCTGCGTGCCATTTGGCCAGATTTGGGTGCGTTATTCCCTGCTTCTCTAACGAATAACTCGCTGCTCTGGGATTCTGATCGAATGAGTGGCGTGGCCATTGGTGATTCTAGCTGTGAACTAGATGGTGTATTTACACCCGTTTCAGATCTGGAGAAGCTCGAAATGCTCGACGGTGATTCCACCATGTCGAAGCCGTCCGAGGCATTTGTATTGTGGGATTTGACGCATGTTACTTGGAGGCCGTCGCCTGAGCCGCACCAATCAAGGAGTTGCTGTTGGCTGTTTTCAACCTGGCCCGAGTCTTGCGTTGACAGGGATGGGTGGGATATGGTGTGAGAAACGCTCGCTGTAGAATCTAGGAATTGATCGGTGCCAAATGATGATGTGGGAGAAAGGAAGTCGTCAAAGTTCATGTCGTATCCAGGTAGGAAATTGTTTGAGAATTGGTTTTGGTTTTGGTTGAAGGACATGTTCATGGGTGAGTAAGAAAGATCTAGACCGATGTCGAAATTGAATTGGCTCAAGTCTGTAGAATCGGTGGTGGGGAAAGACATGTCCAATTTGTTCCATGCTGTGTTGTCTCCTTCTGGGAAGAGAACGAAATCATCAATTGTGTTGAATGATGATGTTGCGTTCTGAGATGAGAATGAATCAGATGCTGTTATTGAAGGGGCGGCCGGTGGACTTGGGTTGGCCTGGCTTGAAGATGTGGAAGTTTTGGTGTTGTTGGACGGGGTGCGGGACATTTCTGTGGTGGATCGTCGGTGAGATGGATCGCACTATTTTAAATTTTAAGTATTCAATTCTCAAAGGAATTATAGTAATGAAATAACGATCAAATATACAAAGGTTGATCACTTCGAGAGTATCGGGGAAACGACAGGTAAGAAAGGGAAATGAACGATACTTACCCTAATCTTCTTCTTCTTACACGCATCACATGCCTTCATAATACGCATAAGATGAGCATGTTCTCGCTGCTCCTTGGTCTTAGTACCTCTACCAGGCGTGCTAGTCACATCAACCCCATCTCTCGTCATGATCGAGAAACCCGGCAAACGTGGCTCATCAACCTTCTTCACATCCTTCTTCGCCTTCTTACTCTTCGAAACTCTACCTGAAGAGGAAGCCTTTCGAACCGGAGCAGTGAAAGATCCATGGGCGGAAGAAGTAGGGGTGTAGACAGCAGGGCTGAATCCCGAGGATTGAGATTCCGTTGGAGATTGCTCAAAGTAGGAGAATGGGAAAACGTGGTAGGAACGGACCAAAGAACCGGTGTTGAGGTCCACGGTTGCGTGGTTGTAGAAATCGATGGTTACTTCGGACAACTTCTCGGATTTGGAAGCTGGACCGGGGATGTAAGCATCGATCATCTGCTCGAGTTCGACGGAACCCAATGCAGGAGTGAAAGTGAGAGGGGCACCCAGGAATGCCTGAGTGATGACGAAGGTTTGGAAAGTGGAGGAATTGTTGAAAGACATTGCTACGGCTTTTTGGGAATCGTGGTGTTGGAGGGGTAAAATGGTAGCCTTGTCCGTGGTATGAAGTGGAACCTTATTTGTGAGGGAATCTCAAACGATGAGATTGATTGTATGGAGTGTATTGAAATAAATGAGGATGGTTCTCGACCTGTGACTCAAGTATTCTGTGCCTATTTTGGGCATAGAATAGTTCACGTGTGTGGGAGAAAGAGGTTTTGCTTTAGACAGTAGTAAGAAAGAAAGAAAAGGAGTTCTTGCCTCAAGGGAAAGGTCTGATACTTTAAGTTGACTCCGTCGGTCAACTCCAGAGTTGAGGGAGTCGGCGAGACGAAAATGGTTTAGCGCATAAGCTGGGAGAGTTCACTAAATACTGATGACTCTTCGCTAAATCTCCTATTTTTACCCGAGTTGGGAAGAGGCATCGACTTTCTATTTAATGTAGGAAACATTGAATGAACAGGTTTCCAACAACTGGTCTCTCTTCAGGAGCCTCAATAATATAAAATTTCAATCTTTATATCCAGCTCATGCCCCAGAATATCTCAAATCCGGCACTTCCTTCAATTATTACGAACAACTCGCTACTGATTTTCAGAAGTGAATCTATCAACTTCTCACACAATCCTATCACCATCCCCAAACTTGACCAAAAACGTCTCGCCGAAGCCCACTCATGGGGCTGGTGTCCCATCATCTCATTGGTCCCTTTCCGCACGTCTCACTTCAGGGTCACATACAGGGTCCAGCACAGCCCGCACAACCACCATACAGGGGCTTTAGCGAAGAAAAGAGATGGGCTTCCCCCGCAACACCACAGCGGGATCTGGAAGTCACAGCCTCGAGCTACAGACGAGGTGGCCTTAATTGGGAACTCGGATTGTGGGATTGACCAGTAATGGACGGTCAATTGGGTTGTTGGTGCAGATGAGATCTAGTTATGACTCCGTCATATCCCCACTTCTGAGATGCGATGCGATGCTAGTGCGGGATGCATCATGAAATTATTACTCGTAAAGGTCCTCCCTACAAGCACTACGTACGATTAATGAACACTGAAACGGCAACCCATCCCATCCCACCCCATCCCAATAAACAACCAAAAACCAAACCCTTCGAATCAAACAAACAATTCCAGCAACACCATCTCTATCATCCCAAACCCACACCATTTCTCGAGTCTCCAAAAAAGTCATTTTCTCAGCAGCAACCTAATCGTATTCCGTGCCGCTTTTCTACTTCCCTTCGTCTACGGACTGACAAGCAACCTTTCTGACTCACCAGAGAGTCATCCACGAACATTATTCATGCGCCAGCCATTATTGTGCGAGTATGACTGCATGGACATCAGCACACATCAGCACACTACATACAGTACACGATAAAAGCCCACTATCACAGCTCCGTACTAGTACACATCTCAACCCACCATCTCACAAACCCCTCGAATTCCACTCGAGGCAGTTCAACCGCATGGCTTTTCATGCATATCTTCCATTCCGGCAAATATCAAAATTCAAAATTTAAAACTTACTACAAGTACGAGCCTATAAAATCACATCACATCCCATCCCATCACATCTCTCCTCAATCCTCTCCTTCCCCCCAAACTTTCAAAAATCCAAATAACAAAACTCTTCTACAACTTAAACCTAGAGATCACAGATTCTCCCTACATAATCCCAGCCTCCCCCCGCGAAGAAAATACACAAGCGAAAGAGTAAGGGCCTGTTTAGCTCGCCGTAATTCTAAATACGATATTCGGAAGCGTACCCCAGTATTTATAAAACCTACGAAAACTCTATTCGCTTATCGAATATAACTTTAGATTAATTATAATCTAAATACCGTTTAGATTAAATTATCTATTCCTATAACTTACTCATATATATAATCGCTAGTTCTTAAATAGTAGTATTATACTATATAGCTACAAATATAATATATTAATAATACTAAGTTATATATAATATATTCGAATTAAATACTAAATCGAATATAAATTAAAGATATTTATAGTCCTTTAAATAAAAGTAGTATTCCTAGAATAGATACCACTTTTATAGATAAATAGACTACTCTCTACACTACCTTTTATACTACTTTTTCTACTACTTTTTCTGCTACTTATTCTACTACTTATTCTACTACTTATTCTACTACTTTTTATACTACTTTTTCTATTACTTTATCTACTAGTTTATCTACTAGTTTATCTATATAATATAAGTAAACGTAAGAGCGCTACTTAACTAAATCTAGTTATACTTACCCCTTTGTCACGAATCACGTAAGCATGTGACAAGTGAAGACCAGGCAGCGTCCTGACAGGTCGAGCACTATCATATCTCTTATAGCAAATAGGGATGCTTAGACTAGCTAAGCGATCCAGGGATTTCATTACATTGTAATCACGTGACCATTTGCATCGCCAGTATCGACAGCATCGACAGGCGATGTAGGCGACGGCGGAACATGAAGGTTCTATATAAGACTGGCACGTCTGCCATTAGATAGGAGCTTCGTGCTCAACTTAGTTATCAATCTTATCATAT